TTTCCAGATCATCTGCAAATAACTTCGAAATTAGTTGACAATATTAAGAATAAAAGTATTAGACCACTTTCGTTAGCTCGTTGTTAATGAATGCTGAATATGTTTATTGCAGTTTACCTTGGAGGGGTCACTATCACTATCTTGATCCCAGTTTATTAATACGCTGCTCATTCTAAACACCAGTTCAGTATTCAAAATGTGTTCCTTGCCGCTCCAACTACTCCTCGTTATTTTTCTGATTAAAATTAGTGATGCTCAAGAAATCACTTTCAAAAATGTGACAATTAGGTATACAATCAACAGCAAAAACGAGGCAAAACTTGTTACCGCTGACAATTTGAAAAAAGTCATCCCTAGTGGAGAAAAACTGTCAGTAAGAGCTACTGGCGACGTTCCCGTTTTATAGGAACAATCAATTCATGATATACATAATTTGGAATTGCTGCAACTAAATGAGGTGAGTTTGAAAGAAATCAAACCGGGAGCCTTTGGAAACTTACCACTTTTACGATATTTGGATTTAGCTCAAAATGAACTAACTGAAGTTAAAACTGGTACCTTTAGTAACCTAAACCTGTCCGAGATATACGTGGTATTCAGTTCAATCAAATCTCTGCAACCTGGAACTTTCAAGAACGTCATTATTGAAACACTATACCTCAGTGACAATTCACTTACTGAACTTCCACGTGGCATTTTCGAAAATGTGTCAGTCAGAACCTTGATTATGAATAGTAACCGCATACACACTATATCATCAAAAGCATTTCACCTTCGTTGACAAATTTAGATCTACGTGGAAACCAACTTGAATCAATCGATTCAGATAGTTTTGATTTACCTGAATTAAAATTACTCGATTTGCGTTACAACAAAATCAAGATTTTACGAACTGGAGACTTGAAAAACTTACCCCGATTGAACAGATTAAGACTTGAATCTAACAAGTTGACAGGAATTCCAGATGGAGTTTTCAACAACACCAATATCACGGATTTGACACTGTAGTTCAACCAAATTTCTACAATTGCGACAAAAGCTTTTAACCATATGCCAAAACTCGACTTGTTGGATATTTCGATGAATAATTTAACTCTGTGGGATAATAATTGGTTAGCTGTATCATCAGAACTTTCTGTTTTACTCGTTAATCACAACCAAATTACTGAAATTCCAGATGAGGCCTTCAAGAATTTTCCTAACGTGTTTGGTCTTGATCTTAGACACAACAAAATTTCGAGAATTTCAATGAAAGCTTTTCATAATGTGGGGCATATTCATAATATAGATTTGTCTTCCAACGAAATTGATAGCTGGAGTCCAGACTTGTTGGCTAATGTTAACATTACTAGAATTGATCTCCGCCTGAACAGACTGAAGTGTATCGAAGAGGATTTGGGTAAAGTGTTTGGGAATGGTCCCACGAATGTTTTATGTTAAATAATTCAATTTTAATATGTAAATATTTCATTAAATAAAGATGGAATTGTTACTGTTGTTGCTCAGTTTTTAACTGGTGTAATAAGAAAAGGTGACGCACAAATTTGGTGTAAAATTCAAACTCCCATCTTTAAAAATGGCGGAAGTGTGAATTTATAACTGTGACAATTTTTTCCATAAAAATTCAAAGACATTCTTATTAACGAACTCGTCTAAATTTGGTTTTTTTTTTAATAATGTTACGAAACAGAAAAAATTCCAAACAACTAAGAATCGTAGAGCTATGAATTTTTAAATGTGATCATTTTTTCACTAAAAAAATTGGTTGAAATTTTGAAAAATTATTATCAACTTTAATTTTGAGAATTCTTTTTTCATCTTTATAGTCAGTTTTTCCATATAAATTTTGTTTGATAACGTTATTAACATTTTAGCAAGGGCACATATATCAATTTAGTATTAATAGACTCCTTAGAGTTTTGGCACCCATGGAATCCTTGAAATCTTTGAAACTTAGAGAAGACTTTCAACTTTCACACTATTTAAAATATTTTCACAAATTCAGTAAAATGTTCTAGAATTGAGTAAATTTTTGTAATTTCCAGAAGTTCCAGCTTTTCTAAATATTACAAAAATATCAGTCTTCGGATGTGCCAGAATTCAACATTTTCCTCAGTTTTCAAGATTTATAGGTCTTTCACATTTTTCACACTTCCTAGATATTTCCAGATTTTCTAAAATTAATAGACCCCAAGAGTTTTTAAATCTTTGGAGTTTTTGGAATCTCTGGAATCTTTAGAATCTCTGGGATGTACAGTATAGCAATTAGGGTATCAATACCCCGAAGGATTTATAAAAATTAAATAAAGCATTCTTCAATTTTTAACGATTTTTAGAATATTTGTTTTGTTTAGCCTCTGGAATTTTTAAAACTTTTGTCATGTTAAGAGTTCATGCGTTTTTTACAAATTATAGAATCTTTGAAATATTTGGAACAGAATTTTAAAAACTGTTTTAACGTTTGAGTCCTTAGAGTATTTAGAAACTTTAGCGTTTTCAGAGTCCTTAGAGTCTTAACAATCTTTGGAAATTTTGGATACTTCAGAATTACTAGAAATTTTATAAAGTTTAGAATTTTTATAATTTCTAGAAAGATTAATACTTCCAAGATCTTTACAATTTTTAAGATTTTGTTGGATGTTCCTTTTATTTAGAACCTAAAACTTTATTTTATTTGGCGCCTTCGAGACTTTAGAATTTTTGAAAGGTTTGAAACCTTTTAAATATTTCAAGCATTTGGATACTTTAGAATTTTTAAAATATCTGCAATCTTAAGATTATGTAGACTTTTGAAATTTTGAAATTTCATATTTTTTATTTTATTATAATTTTCGAGAATTTTCATAGTTTGCAAAATTTCCACAATTTCAAGAATATTCCAGATTATCCCAATTTTTCAGATTTTCCGAAGTACACAAATGACAAGAATTTTCACATTTTCCAAAAGTTCTAAAATTATATCAGGCTCCTGTTGTAGCAGTATTTTGGAATTCAACCTTTTCCGATATTTTCAAGATTTCTAGGTCTACCACATTTTTCCCACCCTTTCTAAATTTCTTCAGATTTTCTGAAACTTATATTGCAATAGTCTAAATCTTTGGAAGTTTTGGAATCTCTGGGATCTTTACTGTCTCCAAGATGTATGAGATAACAATTAGGGTGGCATTTTAAGAATCCACCCGATTTTTACTAGTTTTAGAATCTTTGGCTTTTTGGAATTTCTCTATAACTTTTAGAATCTTTCAATTATTCAAAAGAGAATTTTAGCTTTTGACCCCTTATTGTCCTTAGAGTCTTTAGATCCTTAGATCTATGGAAATTTTGGACACTTTGGGGATTACTAGAAGCCTAAAATATCTTCAATTTCTAGGATCATTAGTCCCCCACGTTCTTTTAAATTTTTTAGATTTTGTTGGATGTTTCTTCTATTTAGAACATTAGAACTTATTTAGAACCTTAAGTGTCTCTACAGTTCGCAATTTCTGGTATATGTAATCCGTGAAAGCTTTTGTACTTTTTCAGTCTTTCAAATCATTGGTAACTTTGGAATCTTTAAAATTTCTACAACCTAGAATCACTAGAATTTCTACAATCTTTAGAGCTTTCAGATTTTCATTATTTTTAAGATACTGCGGGATTTTTATTTTCAATTTGTAAATAAATATTTGGTATCTGTGGAATCTTCAAAATTTTTGAAATCCCTGAAATCCCTTTAGAATTTTCAAATTGCCGGCTTCTCTCCCTTTTTTAATTTCTTGGAATTTCCAAAATCCTTGTAGTCCTTAGAGTTTTTCGCGACCTTGAAAGCCGTAAAACTTTTGTAAGGCTTAGAATATTTGGAACTTTCACAACATTTGGGATCTTTCTACAAATTCGGCCAGAATTTTAGAATTTCTCTAATTCCTAGGATTAACATTGTACACATTTTACATTTATTCGGCAAAATTGACACAAACGGCGGAAACAAGAGACTTATGTTTTCGTATTCTAGGGGTAATGAAAAATGTGACACACTTGAAAAACTTACCCCCATTGAACAAACTAAGACTTGCATCTAACAAGTTGACAGAAATTCCAGATGGAGTTTTCAACAACACTACTATCACGGATTTAAATCTGCAGTTCAACCAAATTGCTACAGTTGCGACGAAAGCTTTTGACCATATGCCAAAACTCAAGCGGTTGAGTATTATGTATAATAAGCCGACTCTGTGGGATAATAATTGGTTAGATGGATCATCAGAACTTTCTATTTTACTCGTTAATGACAACCAAATTACTGAAATTCCAGATGAGGCCTTCAAGAATTATCATGACGTGTTTCGTCTTGATCTTGGACACAACAAAATTTCGAGAATTTCAATGAAAGCTTTTCATAATGTGGGGCATATTCATATGTTAGATTTGGCTAATAACGAAATTGATAGTTGGAATCCAGATTGGGTGGCTAATGTTAGTATTGATGACATTGATCTTAACTGGAACAAATTCAATGCTGGAAAAGAGTCTGAATAAACATTTTGGGGATACATTTAATGAGTAATTTTATGTTAATAATATTTGGTTAAAGCTGGGGTTATTATTTTGTGTGTTTTGTTTATTACTGGTTTAATTAGACAAGGTGACGCAAACGTTTTGTACAAAATTCCAAACCTCCACCTTTTAGAGCTCTAGAACTGCGAGATTCTCCCTATTACCTAAGTATAAGTCAACTTATTTTTCAAAAAATTTAATACGTTTTTTTCCGAGCTGGTTTTCAAACGACTTTAAAAGATTGCTAAAAATTATGTCATAAAGGAAAATAATTAGGTGAATCAATCCTGCAAATAAATTCGAAAATAATTGGCAATATAAACAATCAAAAGGTCAGACGACTTTCCTTATCACGTCATTAATGAAATCTGAATACGGTTCATTTTGCCTTGGCGAGGTCATTATCGTTAACTTGTTCCCAATTTATAAATACGCTGCTCATTCTGAAAACCAGTTCAGTATTCATAATGTGTTCTCTGCCGCTTCAACTACTTCTCGCTATTTTTCTACTTAAAAATAGCGATGGTCAAGAAATCACTTTCAAAAATGTGACAATTAAATATACAACCGACAGCAAAAACGAATTAAAAGTTGCCACTGCCGAAAGTTTGAAAAAAATCGTTCCTAGTGGAGAAAAAGTGTCAGTGAATGTTAATGGCGACGTTCCCGTTTTATACGAACAATCAATTTATGATCTACAGAATTTGAAATCTCTGGAAATAACTGAAGTGAGTTTGAAAGAAATCAAACCGGGAGCCTTTGGAAACTTACCACTTTTACGAAATTTGGATTTAAGTAAGAATAATTTAACTGAAATCAAAAGTGGTACCTTTAGCAACCTAAACCTGACCGTGATAAACTTGATGTTTAATTCAATCAGATCTCTGCAAGCTGGAACTTTCAAGAATGTCGTCGTTCAAGAACTAAAACTCAGTGCCAATTCACTTACTGAATTTCCACGTGGCATTTTCGAAAATGTGACACTCAAAAGCTTGTACCTGAATTCTAACCCCATTCACACTATATCACCAAAAGCATTACCAATTTCGTTGAAAGATTTGGATCTGTTTTACGCCCAGCTTGAATCAATCGATCCAGAAATTTTTGATTATCCTGAATTAACATCACTGATTTTGGACCACAACCAAATCAAGTTTTTGCGACCTGGAGACTTGAAAAACTTGCCCCGATTAGAGGACCTAACTCTTTCTTACAACAAATTGACAGAAATTCCAGAGGGGGTTTTCAACAATACCAACATCATGAATTTGAAACTGAATTACAACCAAATTTCCACAGTTGCGACGAAAGCTTTTGACGATATGCCAAAACTCGAGTGGTTGGATATTTCGAAGAATAAGCTAACTTTGTGGGACAATAACTGGTTACCTGGATCACCAGAACTGTTTCTTTTCTTCGTTGATGACAATCAAATTACCGAAATTCCAGACGAGGCCTTCAAGAATTATAATGGCGTGTTTCTTCTTAGTATTGAGAACAACAAAATTTCGAAAATTTCAATGAAAGCTTTTCATAATTTGGGGCATATTCGCTTCTTGAGTTTGGCTTCTAACGAACTTGAAAGTTGGAATCCAGACTTGGTGGCTAACGTTAATATTGGTGAAATTGATGTTAGCAAGAACAAATTCAATTCAGGAAAAGGGTCTGGATAAACATTTCGGGGATCTCTTTGACGAATAATTATATTTTAATAAAACTTGGTTCAATAAATTTACAATTACTATGTTGTGTGTTCTGTTTTTTACTGGTATAATAAGACAAGGTGACGAACATGTTTTGTACAAAATTCCAAACCTAGAAGTGTTAATTTTTAAATATGCTGATTTTTTCAATGAAAAACTTTACCTTATGAATTGTATCCAAACAAAACTGAAATGATGCAATCAAAATTATATCTTCCTATTTGAAAAAATCATTAATGCCGTCATAACTTTTACAAATTTGACGTAAATTTTTTTTTACACATGTCAAAAGATGGAAAGTAAAATAAAAAACTTGACATATTTGTGCTTTTTTTGTGCATTACTTTATCATAACCATCTATAAATCGGGTGAATACTGTTTATTAATTGCAATCGATTTCAAATTTAAAAAATTTGCAGTACCATCAGTATCATGACATAAATTGTCGAAAATTGCTTCTCGATTAAAAAAATTATTTTCAGCTCTCCTTAAACTTGAGAGTGTATATCTTAGATGGGTCACACTCAAAATTGACTATCAAATCGACTTTCGCTACGACGTCGTTAATGAGTCCTGGAAATGTTTGGTTTACCTTGACACAGTCACTAATGCTTTCTTTCTCCTAATTCATAAATACGATATTCATTGTGAAAACCACTTCAGTATTCAGAATGTGTTCTGTGCGACTTCAACTATTTCTCGTAATTTTTCTACTTAAAATCAGTGATGCTCAAGAAATTTCTTTCAAAAATGTGACAATTGACTGGGTAAACGAAACAATAATTGCTACTGCTGATAATTTGAAGAAAACCGTTCCTAGTGGAGGAAGAGTGTCAGTGAATGTTAGTGGCGACGTTCCCATTTTATACGAACAATCAATTTATGACATAGATAATTTGAAATCTCTGGTACTAACTAAAGTGAGCTTGAAAGAAATTAAACCAGGAGCTTTCGGAAACTTACCAATTTTACAAAATTTGGATTTAAGTTTCAACAAATTGTCTGAAATCAAAAGTGGTACCTTTAGTAACCTAAACCTGTCCGTGATAAACTTGGAGTTTAATTCAATCAAATCTCTGCAACCTGGAACTTTCAAAAATATCGTCGTTGATGAACTAAAACTCAGTGCTAATTCACTTACTGAATTTCCACATGGCATTTTCGAAAATGCGACACTCCGAAGCTTGGACTTGACTTCGAACCGCATTCACACTGTATCACCAAAAGCATTACCAACTTCGTTGACAGTTTTGATTCTGTATAATAACCGGCTTGAATCAATCGATCCAGAAATTTTTGATTATCCTGAATTAACATTCCTCGATTTGGGTCACAACGCAATCAAGCTTTTACGACCTGGAGACTTTAAAAATTTACCCCGATTAAAGGACCTACGACTTTCGTTCAACAAGTTAACAGAAATTCCAGATGGGGTTTTCAACAACACCAATATCGTGCATTTGCTGCTGAATGTCAACCAAATTGCCACAATTGCGACGAAAGCTCTTGACGATATGCCAAAACTCGAGTGGTTGGATATTTCGAAGAATAATTTAACTTTATGGGATAATAACTGGTTAGCTGGATCATCAGAACTTTTTCTTTTATTGGTTGATGACAATCAAATTACTGAAATTCCAGATGAGGCCTTCAAGAATTACCACGACTTGTTTGTTGTTAGTCTTATGGATAACAAAATTTCGAGAATTTCGATGAAAGCTTTTCATAATTTGGAACATATTCGGTTTTTAATTTTGGCTTCGAACGAAATTGAGAGTTGGAATCCAGACTTGGTGGCTAATGTTAATATTGGTGATATTGATCTTAGCATGAACAAATTTAATGCTGGAAAAGAATCTGGATAAATATTTTAGGGATCAATTAATGATTAAGTTTATTTTAATAATATTTGGTTCAATAAAGGTGCGATTATTATGTTTTATAGAAAATTCCAAACCTCCAACTTTAAGAATCGTAGAACTGTGGATTTTTAAATATGATTATTTTTTCAACAAAAAGAATTTGGAATCGGGAGGCGACGTGAAGGTAAGTTAGTGTTTCCACCAAAATTTAATGGTGACTGAAAAATGTTATCGTAAAGGGGCAATTACACCGTTACTTAGGCTAAAATCGTACGAGACTCTGCAAAGATTTTTTATTTTAAACTGTCCTCATTAATGCTTTTACACTTTCATTTTTTAACCTAATCGTAGAGATTTGTTTTTCTTTTTTTGCCTTTTTATATCTACTTTAGGCATTGCAGCGAAATTTTATATTTATCCGAATTTAAAAAATTCTGTTTATTTGGCGCCCATTCATTACTACCTAAAATGCCTAATTTACCGTTAGAGACCTAAAGTGTTAATTAAACGACCTAATTGTAAATTTTAAAAGGCTGCATACATAAAGAATCCTCAAAATGCCTAAGGTAAAATCATCCATGGAAGATAAAATCAAATTATGGTTAGGGAATAAATTGGACACTAATTTTCAATTTCCTTCTTCAACCAAAGACAATGAGTTATTCTGCAAAGTGTCTGCAAAAGTTGTAAGTAAACATTTAAAATACTGAAGCTTGAATTATGTTCACATTTTTGTTTCCTAGTTTAAGTGCGAAAAAAAATCACACTTTGAACAACACTGCACTGGCGATGCACATAAAAAGAACGAGAATAAATCCAGTAAACAGACTTTATTAAACATTCGTTCCAACAATGATTTTACGCAATTTTGCACCGATTTATGTAGGGCATTTACCGCAGCAAATATTCCATGGAATAAAGTTAGTTGTTCTGAGTTTAAAAAAAACACTGAGAAAAAAATATTTACCAAAAGAATACGATATGGTAAGCACTAAAATTTTTATTTAAAAAAGTGCTAAAAGAAAAAGTATTCAAACTTACCGAATTTACAATTTATTTAAGTACTTGATGACATTACCGTCATTTGAAATTTCCATTTGTTTGTTTTCGTTTTGGCTCTTCTCGCTTTTTTTCCTTTTTATTTTCATGGTATCTTAACTTTTTTTACCGCAATGTCTTTTTTCTTTGTGCGGCTTATGTTTGCTCTATATTCCTGCTGATATTTTCGATTGGTTGATTTTAAATATTGTGAATCTCTTTAATTTTTGTCGGTGTTTTCTCACTGTTTCAGTGGATGTTAAAGACATTTTGATTAACACAGCAAAATCAAATTTTTGGTTGATTGACGGCTGTCAAGACTAATTATAATATATATATTTAATTAAATTGCTGAGATTGCTTGTTAAAAAAAAAATTAAATTGGACGAAGTCGTCTCTGGGGTGTATAATATGTTGCGTATGCAAAAATTGTCAGGCGTAGACAGATAAAATGAACACCCTGTATGTTAACGAGAAGTAAATGAGTTTCTTTATGTCATTACGGATTCATACGAGTCTTTCGTAACTTTTCATAACTTAACTATCACTTGAAGTATTTATTTTTTAAATTTAAATTTACTGCCATTTTAGCCTTTTTTGTAAAGTATAGTGACAATGAAAATCGGTGGCATTAATGGATAATGATTTGAGATAATTTAAAACTTTTATTAATTTAAAATTTATATGCTTAAATTTGTATCACAAAAATAAAATTTAGGGATTTTTTTATTATACTGAAAAACGTTTCAAAAATGTAAAAATATCCTAACTTACTCATACTTGGGGTGCTCAAAATATAATTTTTGAATCAATCGTACAAATACATTCGAAATTAGTTGGCAATATCAACAAACGAAAGGTCAGATGACTTTCCTTCTGCATACGTTTCATTTTGCCTTGGCGGGGTCATCATCGTTAACTTGTTCCATATTTATAAATACGCTGCTCTTTCTAAAAACCTGTTCAGTATTCAAAATGTGTTCTCTGCCGCTTCAACTCCTCCTCGCTATTTTTCTACTTAAAATTAGTGATTGTCAAGAAATCACTTTCAAAAATGTGACAGTTGCGTGGTGGAACGATACCGACAGCAAAAACGAAATAAAAGTTGCTACTGCCGACAATTTGAAGAAAATAGTTCCTAGTGGAGAAAACGTGACAGTGAAGGTTAATGGCGATGTTTCTGTTTTATATGAACAATCGATTTATGATATAAATAATTTGAACTCTCTGGAACTAAGTGAAGTCAGTTTGAAAGAAATCAAACCGGGAGCTTTTGGAAAGTTACCACCTTTAGGATATTTGGATTTAAGTAAGAATAACCTAACTGAAATCAAAAGTGGTACCTTCACTAACCTAAATCTGTCCGTGATGTCCTTGATGTTTAATTCGATCAGATCTCTGCAAGCTGAAGCTTTCAAGAATGTCGTCGTTGAAGAACTAAAACTCAGCGCCAATTCACTTACTGAAATTCCACGTGGTGTTTTCGAAAATGTGACACTCAAAAGCTTGTACTTGAATTCTAACCCCATCCACACTATATCACCGAAAGCATTACCAACTTCGTTGACAGATTTGGATCTCTTTTACAACCAGCTTGAATCAATAGATCCAGAAGTTTTTGATTATCCTGAATTAACATCACTCACTTTGGACCACAACCAAATCAAGTTTTTGCGACCTGGCGACTTGAAAAACTTACCCCAACTAGAGGACCTAACTCTTTCATATAACAAGTTGACGGAAATTCCAGATGGAGTTTTCAGCAATACGAACATCGTGTTTTTGAAACTGAATTACAACGAAATTTCCACAATTGCGACGAAAGCTTTTGACCATATGCCAAAACTCAAGTGGCTGAATATTTCGAAGAATAATCTAACTCGGTGGGATAATAACTGGCTAGCTGGATCATCAAAACTGTTTGTTTTTTCTGTTGATTACAATCAAATTACTGAAATTCCAGATGAAGCCTTCAAGAATTATCATGGCGTGTTTCGTCTTGATCTTCAAAACAACAAAATTTCGAGAATTTCGGTGAAAGCTTTTCATAATTTGGGACATATTCGTTTGTTAGATTTGGCTAATAACGAAATTGAAAGTTGGAATCCAGACTTGGTGGCTAATGTTAATATTGATGAAATTGATCTCAGCATGAACAAATTCAATGCCGAAAAAGGATCTGAATAAACAATTTGGAGATCTAAGTATTTGACGAATAATTGTATTTTAATCAAATTTGTTTCAATAAAGATGCAATTGCTATGTTGTGTGTTGTGTTTTTTACTGGTATAATAAGAAAAGGTTACGGAAATATTTTGTACAAAATTCCGGATCTTGCAATTTAATAAATGTAAAACTGTGGTGCTCTCCTTACTAGTTGTCACTGTTTTTGAAAAACGTCAATCAAAATTTCACAAATGAAATATTAAAAAAACACCAACATGTTAATTCAAAGAAATCTGATAAATAAATTTAACTAACAAAAAATTAAGTAAAAAATTATACTTGCAGAAAGTGTGTAATGCAAATTTAAGGACAAATTTGGCAAATATATTAACAAAGGATTAAATTGAGGCTCTAAAAAGGAAAAAATTCAAAAAATGTTCCGAGCAAGCAATCTCCAAGATTTATAAGATAACAATTCTAGAATATAGATTAGCCCAATTTTTCAGATTTTCCGAAGTATACACAAAATCACCAGAATTTACACACTTTCCAAAATTTATAGAATTATATCAGGCACACTTCCTAAATTTCTTCAGATTTTCTAAAATTCATAGATCCCAAGAGTCTAAATCTTTGGAATTTTTGAAATCTCTGGAATCTTTACAGTCTCCAGAGAACAATTAAGGAGTCCAAAGACCTTCAGTGCTTTTAGGATTTATAAAAATTAAAGAATGCCTTTTTTCCATCTTTACGATTTGTAGGTCTTTAAGATTTTTGTTTTCTTTAAAGTTTTTGGAATTTTAAAAATTTTGGCAATTTAAGAGTTCACACGATAAGTTTTAGAATCTTCGGCTTTTTGGAATTTCTCTAGAACCTTTAGAATCGTTCAAGTGTTCGAAACAGAATTTTAGCTTTTGAGTTTTAGAGTATTTAGTCTTTAAACTCTTTAGTCTTTCCAATCTATGGAAATTTTGGGAATTACTAGGAGTTTTGTAAAGTCTAAAGTATCTGCAATTTCTATTTTTCTACAAGTAAGTACCATGTGAAACATGTTGAAAGAAAAGTATACATGTTAAGAAAAAAAAGTTAAAAATAAGCCCCGCCCACCCACCCCACCCTCAATTGTAATGGATTGATCATTCGTTATCCGACCAAGGGACAAAGTTAGTAGTTGAAGTTATCCGGAATCAATATGATGATGTCAATAATTTCCGAAGTAAAGAAAACATTTCTTAGAGCTTGTTTGAAGATCCAAATTTTCCGGGAAGTCTTACCGGATTATCTATTGCCTCCAGAGCCTGTTCTGACAAGCTGGAGGTCATGGATTGAAGCGGCAATATATTATTGCGATCATTTTGGTAATTTCTCATGGAAAAATAAGGATTTTGCAATTAAGCTCCGCCTCCAAGCTCATAACGAATAAAGAAAAATCGCCACAACTGAGACAGGGTGGGTGGGCGGGGCTTATGATTTTACTTTTTTGTTCTTCTTAATATACATACTTTTCACAACAAAAGACTGAAAACATGTTTAAAATGGTAAATTTTATCTCTCACATTTCTCTATAAATTTACCCCTTTGAATAAGTTTTCAGTTTCTTGTCGTGCATAGAAACCTACGTACATATAAGGAAAAAAAAAAGAAAAACACAAACCCCGCCCACCCGCCCTCATCTCAATTGTGATGAATTTTCTTATTCATCGTGAGCCGAGGGGCGGAGCTTAATTGCAAAATGTTTATTTTTCTACAAGTAAGTACCACCACAATTGAGATAGGGTGGGTGGGCGGGGTTAATATTTTGCTTACTTTTCTTGATATACGAAGTACTCTTTGAACAACACGAGACTCACAAACATGTTTTTAATTTCTTGTACAGAAATAGAGAATTTTGCAGTTAAGCTCCGCCCCCTTGGTTCACGGCGCATAAAAAACTCGTCACAATTTAGATGGGGCGGGTGGGCGGGCTTACATTTTGGTTTTTTGTTATAATATGTGTAGAATTCTTTTCACAACATGAAACTTAGAACATGTTAATGGAAAATTTGAATAAGGAAATATCAATTTTGCAATTAGGCTCCGCCCCATATTTACAAAATCTATATTTCCTTGCAAAAATGTACCATTTTAAACATGTTTTAAATTTCTTGTTGTGAAAAGATGACTATGTATATTAAGAAAACAGAAAGGCAAAATATAGTTTTTTAAAATTTTTAAGATTTTGTTGCATCTTCGAAATTTTTGGAATCCCTGAAATCCCTTTAGAATTTTTAAACTGTCGGCTTGTCTCGCTTTTTTAAATTTTTTGAAATTCCTTAAATCTTTGTAGTCCTTAAAACCTTTGAATGGCTTAGTATATTTGGGACTTTCACAACATTTGGAATCTTTCCACATATGCGGCCGGAATTTTAGAATTTCTGTAATGTCTCGAATAAGATTGTAAATATTTTACATTTATTCGGCAAGATTGTAAGAAGGCGTCATGGATTTTTGTCAGACAAATTTTGGTTAGAGTTTTACCATCACGATATTCCTAATATACATACAAACATTGACACAAATGACGGAAACGAGAGACCGTGAATTTTCAGACAAACAGAGTCAACCGTTTCCGATTTAATCAATAAAAATAAATCGACTCGTTCATTAATAAGAAATTTAAAAATTATTAACGCAATGATAAGTCACAATAACTATCATATATAAAATGTGATAAGATTTATTCGGCAAAATTTTGTAGATGACGTCATCCCATTGGAGGTGGCGACGATTAGCCAAATTTTAGTTAGCGTTTAACCATCTACATGATATTCTTAACATACATACAAAAAGTCACAACAATCGGTCCAATAGTTTCGGAGATTTTTTGTCTAATAAAAATGGATGCAGACATCAGACAGACAGACCGACAGACGGACAGACGGAAACGGGAGACCACTTTTTTCGTACTCTATTCGTACAAATTATTCTTCCCATCTTTACTTGCCAATATCAGGTATGAAATACTGTATGGTCACTCGACATGTTCCTACTTAAACTTTTATGTAACAGCAAAAAAAAAATGTCAAAGTTAACTTCATAAATCTTGAACAAGAACACCCGTTATGTTATAGGTAATACGAGTAAATGCATGTAATTACTTATAGACATTTCTCGTGTTTTTTGTTTGTAGTTATTGTCCTTTCATTTCTCGAAGAAATTTCGGTGGAAAAGAAGATGTCCGCCCGAAGTTCTTGTTTCCCCGCCTCGACTTCCTCTTAATTGACGTCCGATGGCTCATCTAAACCCCGTTAAAAATCCTTGCCACAAAACCCATAATCAATCAGTTCCGCGCATCCTCTCGCCCATAAAGAACCAATTCCGCCTGGTACTCGCGCTAAAAAGCTACTTAAAAGTCAAATCGGCGGCCACCATAAAATTACTCGGGGTAAGCGATTAACGGCGTCCATTTTTTCGGTGGAAAAATCGCCCGCTTCGCCCGAGTCATCCTCCGGCTATGCTAAAGAAGTGTTTAATAGGCATTTACACCCTTTACACAAAGCATCTCTATCAAAGTCGCGCTGAGTCATGGCGTATGTCAACAGGGAATGCGGCCCAATCAAGGCGGCCGAGATGGAATGCGCGAAAAAAAACATACCATCGCCGACAGGGTAGAACTCGTTAGCTGCTGAAAATAAATAACCGAGCCAAGATGGCGGCCGCGGTGCGGTAATTAGCCGGGAAATTAGCGCGCATTTCTCGGGTGCGAGCCGGGGCCGTTTGTACCTGGCGGGGGCTCAAAGAAGTGACAAAAAGGATAATTAGACGCTTTCCGACGTACGGACAAATCCGGCCTTATCAGATCGAAATGCGACGTTGTTAAAAGGGGATTAGTGCGGGAGTGACAGAGGAGGCTAGGTGCCAAGCGATGGTGAAGAGGAAATGGTGCGGTAGCAGACGCGAAAAATGGGGCGATTAGGCGGAAGGCTGGTAGCAAAGGAACAAATTTTAACAACACGTTTGTCAAAAAAGTAAAACTTGTCACGATGTGTCCATTTCCATTGTTGAAGTTGATTGTGGCGCTCACAAAAATTTGTTGGATTAGGTACTAGCGCCAAAAGTGAGCCATGATTTTTTTTTCTTGACGTTGATATTCACTTAAGGCTGATTTGCCACATTTATTGTTATTTAGAAAACATATTATCAAGTTGCAACATTTGTGATTTCTCATTAAAATTTAAAATTCCGAAAATTATTTTGTTACAACAAAAAATTTCAATAAAAAGGTACTAACTGCAAAAAAAAATCTAGTCTCCAACTCAAGCGTGACAGAACTTCCCTTGCCACTGAATACAATATATATTAAATTATTATAATTATATTAGTAAGACGAACTTTGAAAAAAAAATCGACTTGTGACTATGTTGCACAACCTATTTTCAATTTTAAGGGATTAATAAACCCGACTTTATTCCTTTCCTCCAAAAGCAATTCCACTGTCAATTCGCCTCACAAAACCCCACCTTGTTCCACCACCTCAATTCAATTAAATTCTTTCCCCGACTCCCTTCGCTCTCTCCATTCTCCATACGCCATCACCTCCAACAGGTAGCGCGACCTTCCCTCCATCGCCCGCCCGAAGCTCGAACACATTTCTTATTACTCGAGCACTTCCATACACGCTGCTTTCTTACCTGAGTACATGCGACCCTCGTCGAAACGATAATCATAGTTGCCGTAAACAAGTCTTACAACCCTCGGTACCCGGCCCCTTTCAATTCCACCACGACCCAGCCGAAACGAACGGGCAAATGCGGCGACACGGAAAAGCGAAAAACTAGACCGAAAGCGCGATTTTCGCGCAATTACCCTGGAGTGAAGGTCGAAAAGCGTGCGGATTTTTCGCTTTTGGCGAAGGAGAAGGGCGGGATGGGCGACCGTGGTGCAAATGCGGGAAGGTCGGGGGTAGAGCGAGACCCAGCGTGTGAACCGGCCACCGGAAACCGCCCTTCAGGTGAGTTCGCCGCCCTCTAGCCCTGTGGGAAGATCAGGAGTGCCCTTAGTGCACGGATTATTAGCGAGGTTTGGGTTTCACGGGCGAAGGTAGCGTGAGATGGATGCTGGG